CTAAACATCTAAGTCTACCTACATCAATCTGTATCTATTTATATATTTTCGTGTAAAATTAGAATCTTTTAAGAGAGATATATCGGGTGCTCCCCCTCCCCCCACACACCCACACTAGAGCAAGTGGTGTACAGCTGTAGCAATAAAAATATTCAAAGTGAAATGTGAGATCAAAATTTAAGTCGGAAAGCTTAACTAAAGCTATATTAAAAAAAAAAATTAAATGGTCCAGAAAATAGAATATTAGAAATGTGTAAATGTACAGATATGCTTTATAAATCTTTAACACTAGAACACGAAACATGGGTATATAGTACCCAGCGCAAATTTTCCTACTTTTAATTACAATTTTCAGTACCTGATTTTCTTACCTAAACAATGTTTTTCAGTTCCTATTAATGTTAACTCAAAGTACGAAGTTTGAAGTGCCTGCATGTAAAATATTTCAAATAAAGATTTATATTTAATATTTTTTTTTTTTTTTTGATATTTTCAAAATCGGGTATGATATACCAATGGTTAGTAGTGGTGTAACTTTAATTGATGGTTAGTGTTCTAGTGTTAAAATTTGCCATATTTATGCTTAATATCGGATTGAGCGATTTATCAATATAGACAGTGGAGATATAGGAATCTACAGTGCATGTTGACAGTCAGCTTCAAGCGCCAAGATATTTTCAGACCATATGTCATTATTTCTTTAGCGGGCTCTCTATATAGTCTACTAGAAGATTAGAAGAAGTGGGGGAAAACGAGAACTGGCCCACCGACGTCTTTTTTTTCAGCGCTAATAAATTAGACTATTTATAGTCGTGGCCTTTTGACTGTTTATTTTGTTTCTATATTAGCATAAAGACTTCCCTATCGGGCGGCATTTAAGCTAGCTCCTGCGGAGGACGCTTGGTTGGGCCTTCATCACAATACGTAGGGAGGAGTAGATGCGATAGACTACAGAACTCAAAATTGATCACTGTATTTAAGTATTACATTAATATTTAAGCTTATCTTTTTAAAAGTTCAGCGACAATTTTTCTGCCGCCACTTAATTTAAGGACACGTTGATGTACGTAGGTCCTTACTTTCCATACAAATTTCGCAATTGGATTTCGCACTGGATTTCGCAATTAATTTCAATTACTTCCCAAATTTATTTCCAAGTTATAAAAATTGTTATCGTACAACAAAAGTGTCGTAAAAAAAATCACTTAAAAAATTCACCGAAAACAATCGCTGTAATGACAATTTGGGAATCCAAAAATTCAGGACTGCGGGTCCGGATCTAGCCCGAAATGTTTTTAATTTGCTCACGGAGTCAGCTTCATACCAAAATGGTACGGCCTCTAGGACTAAAGTTGAAAAAGTATGACACAGTGACATACTCCCATTCGCATTTATTATTTAGACTTATTTTTTACCTTATACATTTATATAAATTTAGATAAATGACAAATAGGAAACGTTTATCAATCTAACATGTTTCACTTTTATTAAAGCTGCGTCATAGATTGAAAGAAAAGACAGAAAAAAGAACTTTGGTATATTCAGATATGTTTGGATTGATTCTCATTAGTCAGTCATGTATCTTCTTTCTTTTTATGTGCCGTGTCCTTTCAGGACGTAGGCGATCATGGCTCTCCATTTTACCTTATCCCTTGTGGCTCTCAATAAGTTTTGTCCGACTGCCACCTCCCTCAGACCATATTCTGTCATCCATTTGCTTAAGCCCGCCAGGTATATCATGCGTTGCTTTCCCTTGTTTCCCTCTCCTTCTATTCGACCTGTGAGTATCAAATTTTCCAGGCCCTCCTTTCTTATTACATGTCCCAGAAACTTCAGCTGACTATTCCTGATGTTAAGTATAAACCTCCTCATTTGCATCCTCTCCAAAACCTCATCGTTGCTCACACGCTCGGTCTATGATATCCTTACTATCCTTCTGTAGAACCACATCTCCGTTGCCTCGAGTCTTTTCTTCATCTTTGAGGAGACCATCCAACATTCGCTGCCGTAAAGGAGGACAGATGTCACGTATCAGCTCAGTATTCTTTGATACCAAAGAAATCCTCCTGACTCGTAATACTCTGCCTAGCTTTTGGAATGCGTCTTTGGCTATCCCAATACGTCTTCGGATCTCAGTGTCGCACTTACCATCCTCTGTCAAAACACTTCCCAGGTATTTAAATTTCCGCACCTGCTTGATTTTAGTCTCCCCGATCTGTAAATCGCATTTCGGGTTCATCTTTTTACTGATGACCATGCATTCTGTCTTCTTGTGGTTGATGCTTAGGTCCTTCTTCTCGCTCTTCTTCGCTACCTTCTGTAGAAGGTTTTGTAATTTCTCTTTCGTGTCTCCTATTAATACTTATGTATCACGTGCATTAAAACCATAGATAATTATATACCTTAAACTTGTAAAAATTCTGATATGTCTAAGCGGGTTTTGGGTGGTCACGTGTATTCATAATTGTGTATGTGTGTCTCGTAGGAGGAGTTCTAATGTTTTCACCTTTGTACATTCAGCCGATGCAGTGAGGTGGCACTCCATTTTAATCTGAGACTGTTTTTATATACGTAATCTTTGTATTAGATAGATACAAGTTAGATTCTTTAAGAATGGATTGAAAGAATTATGGTAATGTAATGTAATGTTTTAGGAGTGTTTTTATAGTGGGTAATAATTTATTTTATTCATTAACATATTTCATTATTCTTTTAGATATTTAATTTATTTATTAGTTTTGTATATTTCTCTTTCGTATATTTCATTTTATTTCAAATCTTCTATATGATGTATTCCTTCAGGACCTTGATGATCAAATTCCTATCATTTGTAGGTCTTAATAAATTTTCTCTTTTTGTTATCTCTCCTAAACCTTGACCTACTGTTGATTTACTCAAGCTCTCAGAGTAGGTTTTCCTCTGTTCCTCTTGCCTTCAATTTGTCCTGTGGATATATTTTCCATGTCTTCTTTCCTTATTATGGACCCTAGGAATTTCAACTTTTTCTAATGTTAAACAGAAGTGTCATTTTTGTTTCCATTTTCTCTAAAACTTTGCCGTTGCTCACACGTTCAGTCCATAGAATCCTCGGCATACTTCTGTATAACCACATTTGTGTTGCTTCAAGTCTCTTCTTCATCTTTGAGGAGATTGTCCAGCATTCGGAGGACTGATATTTCGTAACAGTTCAATAGTTTTGTCTTTGTAGTTAAAATATCCTGTTTCTTAATGCTCTGTTTAGCTTTTGAAAGGCATCTTTTCCTAATCCGTTCACTGTTAAAACACTTCCCAGATATCTAAAGCGATGTACTTGTTGACTTTGTTGGCGCCAATTTTTAATTCGTAAGTTGAGCTGTTCTTTTTGCTAACAACCATGCTGTCTTCTTGCAATTCTTTCTTCTCGTATTTCTTCACTAGCTGTTGTAGAATTTCTTGTAGTTTCATTCTATGTCTGCTCCCAACACTGTGCCATCTGCATATTTTGGGAGGTTAAGATTCTGGCCGCCAAAAATGAATCCTGATAGAACTTCTAATTCAATTTATAGAATCACTTCGCTGTATAGGTTGATGAGGCACAGTAGAGTAATGAATAGCGGCTCAGATTGAGGAATCGGAGGGCCGAGTTCGAATTCCAGTCGAAACCCTTACATTCACTTTCGTGCTAATACCCTTGGGAAAGGTATGAATCCTCTTTTCTCCCGACCCCCCAGCAGGACAGACCGAGTTGGATGGCAACTGGTCTACCGCAGAAAAAAATGGCAACCTACTGCGGGAAAAAATCTGCCTCGTCGGTCATGTATCGAAAGATCACCTAACTGACTGACTGTATATGTTGAATAAGAAGCTTTGTATATTTACTGTATTAATTTTCTATCTGTATGCAGGCAGTTTACTGCCAGTATAGTATACTGGATTATTCTAATTTCCTTCACAAATATGTCATGGTTGCTTTGCAGTTCCAAAAATTCTTTATGACGTACTTTATCAAATGTTTTTTACATAATCTATGAATATAGTTTATTAGGTGTAGATTTTACATCTTTTTGGTCAAGATGTGGTTATAGGTAGCGTTGTAGGAATTTATATGCTAACATTTGCTTTTACTGATTTATATCTCTTTCTGTAAGCAACAAGTGACATCAATTTGTTTGTAAATGAATTTATTAATTCTAAATTTTATTTAAGAAATATCTTTAGGAAAAACCTTTGGTGGTAAATATAAACTTTTCTAAATCTGCTCTACACCCGTTTGTATATATATATATATATATATATATATATATATATATATATATATATATATATATATATATAAAGCACCTCAATTCTAACCAGGGTGCCTCTGTTCATGATCATTAAAAACCCATGGTCGGCGGCTGCGCTGTCCACAGTGAGCAGTAATTTTTGTTTTTTTCATTCCCGGTAACACATGATATTGTAGATCAAGGAAAATAAAAATGTCTCCCTAATCTCAGAAATAGGATGTCACATCCGTCTGGCACCCACTACCGTGACCCGATCGAAGT